CAGTAGGTCATGGACTTGGTATTAGGAATAAAAACAGGATAGACACGGCGGAGATTAAAGCGCGTTGTCTGACAGTAGCTTTCACAATAGACGTGATCTATGTAGCAAAGGCCTGATCATGATATTTACCCAAAGGTTTTGGCCTCGAATTAGTTACCCAGCCCCAAGGGAGGAGTCGCACAGATGGAGTGGCAGGGGTCGAGAGAAATACTTGCCCAGGTAGATCGCAGATGGATTCTACGGGGCAAGAGGGAGACTGATAAGACGTAGGGAAGGACTGCGTAACAGAATGGCAGACTCTAATCAGCATTTCCAGGACAAGGATCAAAGAGAGTGAGAACGCCAGAGTGGATTGTGGAGGGTTCTTATGAAAGTCGCTCAAAACGGCACCACCAGAGAAAGAAAAACAAATTGTGACAGTGAAGGCGTGATACAAGGATATAGGAAAAGTGAATAGCCCAGGACATGAGGGATACCACAACTGTTTAGCATACATTTGATCAAAGTATCGGCTTTACTTGTCTCTTGCAGTTTAGTGCTAAGAATGGCAAGACTCAATGACGCTGCCGGCGCCACGTCTGGGAATTGTCTTCTTCCACGGACTTTAGACTAGGTGCGCTCCTCTAAGTCTTCCTACCAATGTGACCAAGCTGCGAAAACAAGGTTAAACAATATCCATATAACGAAAGGAAACTGCGACCACACAAAAGTCCACTCCATCTTGTTCTTCATATCTTCGAAAGAATAACCTAGTTGATTTAACCTCACTTTCTAAACTCGTTTGGGATGAATGCGGCAGCTTTTGCAACCTACCCAGTCTTGCATCATCCACCATATTGCTGATCACTTTAGGCATCAGATCGTTAACTAGATTCGTTCCCAGACGTGAGTCGTTTCTTTTAGTAGTGTAAATGACCCTCGAAAAAATTTTGACATTCCTTACTTTTATAGCGCTGAACATTCGTTCCTCAATTTACTTCATATAGCTAATTTTTCTAACCACCTAACCTAAATTGAGAAACCACTTATCCATACTTATGGCACTTCTTACCTTCTTTCCCAAATGACTAAACATCATTCGTGGCCTCGATATACATGATACTCGAGAATCTATCCACTTGAGTAACCCAAAAGTATCTCGGAACGTGGACGTTACCCTTACTTAGGACGGCTTATATAAATGTGAATATAACTCCTGACTCACTTTTCAGATAATTCAAGTCCTTGGAGGTGCTGCTTATTTTGAAGTAGTGGGATCATTTTCCACTTGTTGGTTTCCCCTTTACCTATTTCCTCCAGCACTTCTTGCAACACACTGTTGGCCCTCACTTTTGGGCTGTTAAACAAAAGATTGTCTTCACTTGTTACTAGTCAGTCGTAACTTGGTGCCTCTCACTAAGGATGCCGGCGCAACGTCTTGGAATGTACCAAATCAAAATTTCGATGCCGAATAATGGCAGCGGCAACAACGTCTCTGTCACTTCGACCAAGTTACGAAAATGAGGCCAAACTAGCTTTAATGGTATCATCTCCATGTAATACATTCATGTGCTAAGCGCGATGCTGTTTTTGGATTAATTAATCAAAAGGTTAAATGTTTTTCCAGATGATGTAGACAGTGATTTCGAAGACGTTTTACCAGATGTTGAAGATACGCCGTCGACATCTTATTCAACCAGAAAATCTAGCATATCTTTAACAGATTTTCTTCCATGGGAACAGCCTATCAATGCATCAGAACGGGCATTTAAAAGAGGATCTTACTTGCAAAAGGGATATGATAAATTTTGCCTGAAATTTACTCATTTTGAGGGGAAGCCATCGACTTCATCGTAAGTATATCATAATTTGATTTATGAACAATAGTTTATTTATGCACCATTTCCCACCTACTTGAATTTTTCTTAATGTTTCTTATAGTGGTGCGTCAATAGAACTGACTGAGACTGTAAAGCAGGAAATACACCAGACGGATCTGATTCCACATTGTTTTTCGCGTCCCATCGACGTTGAGGAGTATGCACTTCCTCGGGCTGACCTACTAGAGGCTGCTATCTCTTTTAGCCCATTATCCAATGATCATGTGCTGAAAAAGGAAAATTCTACTTGTGAGTGTTATCTAGCATAATTATTTACTGTGAACCCAGAATACGTTTTGGATGGTCGCATGTGATAAAAGAACTAGTTCATTTTCTTAAAGTGATATAAATGGTCCTCATGATAATAGTGGGTTCCATTTACTCTCTACACTCAAAAGATATTCTCATCCTGCGTGAGCAGCAGTTTTGACCTCACCTGGGCCTTATTATCACTAATGGAAATCGAATCCGGGTAGTACAAGGTATATTCTCTACATTTTCATCTCTGCCACGTATGTTAGTGAATCGGTATCATTAGAATCGACTGCATTACTTATTCATTTCGAGTTGTTCTAAACAATAATAATTTTTTGGAGGCAAAACTAGGTAAAACAGGTTCCACCATAGAAGTTATAATTTTAAGCATGACCACTAAATTGTTGATTGATTAAAAAGACAGCATATAAAATGCAGGCGGGAGAAGTAAAATTTAGAAGCGTTCCTTACTAATGCTCATAGCTATCATATTTTAGGGTCAGTTATGTGAAAAAAGCATGTGATTTTCAAGTGCTACAAAGAGCAACTGATAATGAACGAATGAGTAAATTGAAGTGCCTACTGGCAAAGAGATACCAACTGGCGACACATTTTTGAAAACATGGGAACAAATGAAGATTTCAAGATGTGAATTGGACTTATGAAGCAGCGTTGAGGGATGAGGATACAGTACTAAGAGCTAGGACGGCATGGAGGTGCTGAAACGGATGAACGGAGGCTTAATCAGGCATAACGCTTCATTGACAGCACAGCGTTTGCCAATGTACCAAATACGGTGATTGAAATCACCATGATTACTATGGCAAAAGATGCAATATCAATACTATCTTTTTATCAATCCGAAATGGTTGTGAAAACATGGTCAAATCGATTACATCAACTTGGGGATAAAAAAGTCGTTAACGCCTAAGTCGAAGAATATTTCGTAACTTATAATGACATTTTGGTTAAGCCTATTAAATTACAATTATATTCGCTTCAACAACTCAGTATTGCTACTTTGAAATGCTGTTTTTTTTATTGGATAAGAGATTGTCTTTATTGTAACTGCTACAGGTCAATCTGGCTTCAGAATAAATGAGCGACCCAAAGCTAATTTCAAATAGCATGTGTTTCAAGAATGAGTAGTTTATTAGCACTTATACAAAAAAGGATACTTATCTATGCCATCAAGCATGTCACGCAAATTTAACGATTACACTTCGCGATTCCCTAAGATTTTTCCCGTCGGGACGATATTGCTCTGGCTCTAACTTGCTTGACCGATTCGCCCGCGGCTGCAGAGTGGCATGCAATTTGAGACGCTACAAGGTTTGCCCTACTCTCTACTACTCGGAGCTCAAATTATATACGAAAACAAATATTCATAAGTATTCGCCATAGTTCACAGCTTGGACAATTTTGTGTTAATCTGCCTCAAACGAATTGTGCAAATTATGTTACCTATTAAGTGAAATGTGGGCGTCGCAACACAGTGCCTTAAAGGTCTAAGCCCATGGCAGGATGATGGCTAGAACACGTTGATCGTCTGCCTCCAAAAGGCCCGACATACACTTGTAAATGACAGAAATATTAAATTGCCTTCGGTCAATATCGTAGAAGCTAATAGCCTATTGGTTTATTTTGGAATATAGTAGAGCGAGCTAAGCCCATAGAGGAGGCTGTTGCAATTTCCGATGAGATTTCGACGTGCCACGATCCCACGCCTATGGTTTGCCGAGCGCCTCTTTTACAAGGCGGCCTTTGTCGCCGAAAGGATCCAAGTGGAAGGTGTCCGATTCATGGAACTATAATATTACGCCATGGAAGTACTGGAGCGCCAATGCACAAAGGTGATGCGATGAAACTGCACGCGGAATGGTCTGAGCACTACAAGGTCAAACAAATGAGTAAGTGCCAATTCATCATACCACAATTTCCATGTATTAATTCTAAGCGTTCTTTAACTTTCCATAAGAAACGAATCAAATACAAGGTAAACAGAGGCGCAGGAGATATCCGGGTCTGGTTGACATAAAAAGTGTCAAAAGTTCAGCCCGTCACAAACTCGCCCGAAGAGTATTTGGCAGGTGAATAAATGTTGCATAACTTTTTCAAAAATACGTCAAAGCTTACTCTATAATTTTCTATCTGTCCAGATGCGCTATTAAGAAGTCTTTTGGGGACGGATGACGTCGAATAATGTTATCCTCACAAATCTGCTGTCTGATGCATCAGTTTTTATTTATTAATGTAATCTCACCTGAAAGAAGTTTGCCATGCATTAAATATGCAGCAGATTTGAAAAATAAATATCATTGAAAGTTTAAAAAATACTCCTTGCTGATACATATATAATGATATACCTGTATGGGGGGAAAGTTGATCTGGCTTTAGATATAAGGTCATTCATGCCAGGATGAGTCTATGAAAAGAGGGGATACTTTGCTAGCTTGATATTAATATAATTATCACAGAGGGCTCAGCAAGCATCTGAAAAGGAAAAACTAAACAACGTGGATCGGTACAGATCAAACTTATAAATCCAATGAGAAGGTAATATGTATAAAAAGGAGTCAAACAATTGGTTTCCTCCAAAATAGGCACATCTGCACCGTAAAGCAAATAGCTCGGAGCGCAAATGTGCAGCCTATTTACAAGCACTTGCTAAGCGAAGTTTGAATGATCCAATCTGGCCGTATATTATTTACCCGAAAATTAGCCGGCTTGTGGCTCCGGTATGATCGAAGTTATCAAGGTGGTGACAAACTGCAATGATGTTGCAGCTACCGCTCTGAGGCGATCAACTGCAGCTGGACCCTGAAAAGCATCGTCAGCATTAACCTCAACAGCGATATGTTCTGCGACGTTAGTCTCAGGATTAAGGGAGTGTTGTGAATTCGACTCTTCCAAATGACTGGGTTGAGTAACCTAAGGGTAGAGAAGAGAAAAATCGTAGCCAAGCAATTTTAAGGGGGCAATATCGTAAGATTTGAAAAAAGCTATAATTGCGACCGAGTTTGGACTATTTTCGATATAAGTGGATTTCGCGACTATCATTTATTCTTGACTAAGTTACCCTAGGTGGCCTAAAGTGATTGAAGCATGACTCTCGATTTCGAAGTGAAAGTTGGTTGAAAGGAATTCGTGATTTGGTCTCACCGGAAACCGAAGGAGAATTGCCGCGAAGGGAAGACTGATGAAGTGTGTGAAGAAGTCCTCGGCTCACCATCCTGCGACCCCGATGGAATTGCTAATCTTTCGTCTTTACCGTGACAGACATAATCAGAGCAAGATTTCATACTTTACGAAATAGAACAAAGATATACTAAACTGGCTGCAACCCTAGTCGCTTTTTATACACCTAACATCGTGATCTTAATTATGCCTCTTCTTATTTGGTTGGCTACTTCACGCCTACTCTCAATGCTTGCAAATATGTGAAGTTACTCCACAAACCGAGTGTGTTTTGTGGCAGACCACTTTTAAAGTTATGTGGGTCTAAAAATCTGACCTCGCTGAACACATGGTCAATACAGGACACTCAGGACTGGTCCAAAACAGCGTTTTGCGGGTTACCAGGACTTTACATCAAAGCATAAGATCAGAGAGTTTTCCAATATTAAAATGATGGGCCATATGATGCCAATGCATTCCACTTGCCCTTTCCTCGCATAAGCCTGTTACTGGGAAATAGGTTGTCACTTATTTGCATCGAAAGCCAACAGTATATATATATATATATGTGTGTGTATATATTACACGAAGGTTACAAATTTCAAATGATTCTTACAACGGCTCCCATTGCACAAGACATGCAACTGATACAAAATTCGGATAAGTTTTGTTTTCCCAACTCGGTCGCACCATCAGAGATTTTGTGGAAGCTACCTAGTATAGTGTCCTCTGTTATAATATTCGTGATTTCTATCTTCGGACCATTGACTTGGCATATTGCCAAACGCTTCGTCGGCATCGCAGTCAATGAGGCGCCAAAGTGATAAATAAGGGCAATCCCCTTTACCAATTTTCTGTTCTGCCTTCTAGTGCTGTATCTTTCCCCCACTTTAACTTTTACCTATTTATATAATTCCATTTTCTCATTTTCTCCAATGTTGCTTCAGAGTGTGTCGCTACAAGTGGGTTTAGTGAAGTGTAAGCATCTCCATTACCAGTACCAGGTGCTGTTTGCAGGACTCTTGACCTACAATTTGTCCCCGTTCTCATACCCCGCTTGTCGATTGGTCGCTGGTAAGCATCAAAAGCATTGCCTGGCTGTCTGAATATACCAGTTCAATGGTCCGCAGCTGGAAATCACGAATACTATGGCAAAGGACACCGGACTAGGTACGCTTAACAAGGTCTCCCTGACAAAGATCGAACCACCACTAAAAGGCTAAATGAGACTGCGACTAAACAGAAGGCGACATTATCTTAATATTTACGAAAAATTAATAGGGCCTAAGAGATATCCTTTAGTTCATACACTAGGGATAAATAATTAATTACCAATTGATCCTGAGATGCTGAAGGGCCGGAATCTGAGAGGGAAGCTTCGGAAGTTGGACGAAGGCGCTGTCTTTCCTGGTTATCTTGTCTTCTCCGTTCGGTCTCTTCTTGCTGTCGCCTCAACATCTGACGCTCTCTCAGATGATTGTGTCTGTATCCCAAATTTAAAAATATGCTGTTCATGGATCAGTAATAATATAAGGAAGACCTGGACATTTTCTTATTAGATCTCTAGTCTTTAATGGAATTAACGTCATCAAAAGAGGATTATACATCCAGATGCCTGGTTGAAATATAGGTTTTGTACTTAATTTTCAGCAAACTAAACTAAAGCAAAGGTTAATATGAGGCAGATGGCACAAATGAAGAACGGACATAAATTTAATGGCAAAAGGTTTCGTTGTAGCATAGTTTGAATCTTATCCATTAGGACGTGGGTCTGAGGGAGACTATTACCTGGGTGTCAGGACTAGTGCTAGTCTGTTCATGATGAGATGTCTATTGTAGAAACTACTAATATATTTTTTTACATAACCACGATTAAGATAGATAAGTGCTAAAATAAAAATTGTAGTCATACATGTATACACAAAGAACGACGCCGATTACGACTAGTGTTTTTTCAAGAGAAGAGTAGACTGCACAAATTGCCAGGACTATCCCGAGGCGGAAGAACATGTAGAATAAATCAAGAAGATCAACTATTCCTGCGGCACCAGCATTGTTCTCATCTTCTTCAGCAGCAACTGCTGCTGCTACACCCCCCATAACACCATCAGCAGCAGCATCACCACCACCACCAGGTACTAATACACCAAAACGACGAAAAAGATTAGCAAAAAGACCTAGAGGCGCAGCAGCCTCATTAATATTAGCCCGAGCCAAAACATCGTCACGACCATTAATTGCAGGAGGTATGATTTGAGCTTCTTCGGGTTCATTGGTAGTTGAGTTTGAGATGGGTCGAGAGGAGAGGTGATTTAGCTCAAATAGTCCTTTTTAGATAAAAATAAAAGATTAAAATTAGATGGATATTGAGGGCTTGCATAAAACATGAAAGCACGCTATTAGAATGTGGTAGCCCTAAGGATAAAAAATGAACAAGACTCATAAAGGCATCCGATTTTGAATCATTACAAATGATCTCCGATAAACGGTAAGCTGCGTGATTACTGGCACCCTCAGGGGTGCGTTCCACCGTCCCTAAGAGGTGTTGAGCTCTGATTTACCTATTAAATTTATGCGAACATTTCATATACGCTGATTAGTTTTCCTTGAATTGCCGATCCTTATGCACTAGGTCGAACAGAAGGCTTTGTATATTATTTTTTAAAAGCACAATTCACTGAATCAAGAGCATTGCAACCAAACTGGTGACAGTTTATAACCACATTACGGAGCATGTCACCAAACTGTGAACTAGATTAGAAATATTGCGATATGCTCATAAAAAAGGGCATCGAATTCGAAGCCGGTCAGAAAAACATAGAATTTAAATTTTATTGTAAATTGGAGTCCAAAAAACCTTAAGTGAAACTTTCAAAGAAGCAAGGATTGAAGAACACCAAGAATGGGTTCAGGCGTTACCAGATGGGTTTATGTGAACTTAGAACGAGGGGAATACTTACAAAGTTTAGACAAAATGTTGCTAAAATTACAGCCATTAATACAATTGCTGTCACATGAGCAGTCCATACTTTGGGCTTTAGGGGAACAAGCTAATACGGTCAGATGGCATCAGATACACGAAATGTTTGTTTTTTGCAAATAGCAGTTGAGGGAATTAACTGTAAGTTCTATGCTGTAGTAATCTTAATTTCTAACAGCATAACATTGACCTCGCAAATTTATGAATTATTGGCTAACATTGTAATTAGGCGCCATCAATAGCATCAAATTACACTTCGTTATTTACAGGTGATAGCCATCCTTCCAACCAATTTTACCTTAATTAGTTAATATCTCTCGTCATAACTTCTGACACAGTAATCGCTTGACGTCACTTTATATAATTAATCTCAAAATCATAACGGTTCGAATGGATTTAGTAAAACGTAATCATGAATTATGAGATGTATTAACCTTATATCGTTTAAGGTAATGAAGGATTGATAGTAGAATTTCCCCACAATATTGAGTGAAGCTGACGTTTCAATATAATTTTAAATAGCCTTGCTTTCCCAAAAGTTGTTCTCATCCAGAGTGGACTGCAGCTTCGACCCCCAGCAAGAGTCGATCCTTGACAGTACAGCATTTGAGTCGCATTGCCACTAGTGCACTTGAGTCACAGGGCGGATGCCAGGCCTTACTTCACTCCATGACGAGATTGTCGATGAAGCAAAGTTATATTTGCTATAAAAATAGACTACATTAATTATTTTTCGTATATAGGCAATTTCTAGACTATCAATAAATCAATTATATTATATGTGAATTAAGGATGACGAGGTCGAAACTACAGCCAAACCTGGAAGAGAACAGCTTTTGGGAAAGCAATGCTCTATTTATATTATTGTAGGAAAATTCTACTACCAGTCATTCATAATCTTAAACGAAATAGGGTGAATACAATACCTATAACTGATTTACTGGTAGTCTCGGTATTCTTCTTATATTCGAAAAAAACTAATCATGAATTGTCATAGTTTCGAAACTTACCTCAGCCCTATCATTTTATTAAGTGAAAACCTTTTCACCCTGAAGATAAAGCACCATACGAGGTAATCAGCACTGTTCGCCTTAAGCTAACAGCAATCGAGAACAAAAGACATGTGGACAAAAATTAAAGAATAAAATTAAGTTAATACGGATGATGCTCTTCACTCCTTGGGCCTTAGCCAAGGCCACACAGTTATGTAATGGTCTTGGACAAATATGAAAATATACATTGTATTTTTGAAAAATTCCATATTACAATTAAAGTTAGTTATTAAATTTCCCCATGAAGTCAACTGGGCACAAAACAGTTTCTTAGCGTGAGTGTAGTTAATCAATTTTACCGTAGCGATAAGTTTTGTTTTTTATATGCATACCATCAGCCGATTCTAGGTATTTATGGCCGAGATTAATCCAATAGATTATTATAATGCTCGAAAAACAGAATTTACAATATAGCATTTTTATTCAAGCTGCAAAGAAATTTTAATAATAGAATTTCTGTTGACTGGGACTTAGCAAGAAGAATAAATTATCAGGAGGTTCATCAAGATTGAATTTAGTGAATAACAAAGCTAGGGAGGCCAATGTAATAGAACAATTATTTAGAAATATAAAAGAATAATCCTTACCAGCATAGTGAGAAAATGGCAAAATGAGCCCGACGGGAAAGGCATGTGTGGCAGCCTCTGACTGGCAATTTTGTCCTGCATATACGGATTGCAAATAACTGTAGTACTCCGATTTATACTGGTCCAATAGTGTAGGACTAATTCCACTTTATTTATATATGGTATAAAAATATTAATTATCAT